AGGAAATAAGGGGAAAGAAAAAAGAAAAAAAAAAAGAGAAGGGGCGGAGGAAAAAAAAAAAAGAAAAGAAGAGGAAGAATAGAGATAAAAATAAAGGGGAATAAAAAGAAAAAAGAGGGGAATATAATCAAGAAATGAGTAGAAATTAGAGGAGAAAAGAAAAGGGCAAAAACGGCGAAGAGGCCGGCGAGCGAGCTGAGCGTGCGGAAGCGTGCGAGAAGAACTGAGCACAGCTCGGGCAATATCGGGTCATCTCGGGCCATCTCGGGCCATCTCGGGCCATCTCGGGCCATCTCGGGCCATCTCGGCCCATCTCGGGTGATCTCAGCGTGCAGAGCGGAAGAAGGCCGAGGTGACTGACAAGTGGCAGTCCGTCAGTGGTTCGCTTCTCCGCTCGTGCAGGAGCGGAAGAAGGCCGAGTCCAAGCGGCGCAAGGCGGAGGCAAAGGCGAAGGCGGAGGCGGAGGCGCAGGCGAAGCGCGACGCGGACGCCAAGGGCAAGGACGGCAAGGGCGGCAAGAAGGGGGGCGGCAAGGAGAAGCCGCCCGACGACGACCCCTACGGCGAGGCGCTCGCGTCGGTCGAGGCGCCGCTGGCCAAGGCGCGGGCTGGGGGCGCGGTCCCGCTGCTGCCCCACGCGCCGGCAGTGGACCCGTGGATGCATGCATGGACTAGGCGGCGGGCTACATGCGGACGCTGCTGCTCCACGCGCCGGCGGAGCTGCGCGTGCAGGTGCTCGCCTGTCAGCTGGCCATGTGACCTCTTAGTTCTCGTTCAGAAATGAGTGAGCGAATTCAGAGCTGCGCGTGCAGGTGCTCGCCTGTCAGCTGGCCATGGCGCGCTCAAAGCCGCTGCTCGCGTTGCGCGCGCTGCGAAAGGCGCTAATTGGGGGGCGCGGGAAGGGGGGGGGGCGGGAGTCTGACGTTTCCCTGACGTTTCCTTCCGTGAGATGCGGCCGCTTCAAGAGTGCACCGAGGTGGTCGATGAGAGGGGGGGGGACCTCGAGTGGAGGTGAGTCTGCCCGACTGCTGCGACAGGCGCTCTCGCTCGGCGCCGCGGACGCGCAGGTGCACCGCAGCGCCGCCCGCTTCCTCCACCTGTACCGCGCGGGCGGCGCGGCGCTGGCGCCTGCGGTAGCGACGGTGGTGGAGCGGCACAGCGCGCAGATTCTGGCGGCGGCGGGACTGCCGACCGGGGCGACGGCCGAGGCGTACAACGACGCCTTCCTCGCGCGCGCGGGGGGCGGCGCGGCTGCGGCGGCAGTCGCCCACGCCGAGGTGCGCGCGCTCGTCGCCCCCGCGCAGGCGGCCGCGGCTCGCGAGGCGCTGGCGAGTCTCGACCTGCAGCAGGCTTCCTAGCCCTGGCCCTGGCCCTAGCCCTAGCCCTAGCCCTGGCCCTAGCCCTGGCCCTAGCCCTGGCCCTAGCCCTAGCCCTGGCCCTAGCCCTAGCCCTAGCCCTAAGCCCTAGCCCTGGCCCTGGCCCTAGCCCTGGCCCTAGCCCTGGCCCTGGCCCTGACTCGATCCCCGGCCTCCAGCAGGCCAGCCTAGCGGTGTGCAAGGAGGCCCTCGCCCTCCTCGAGCCCGGAGGCGCGCTCGCGGACGCCGCTGCCGCCGCCGCCTTCCGACAAAAGGCGGTGGCGCGGTTCCCGCACGCGCCGGCCTTCGGCGGCGGCAGCGGCGACGAGCCTCCCCCGCCGCCGAGCGGAGAGTGAGCGCGCGGCGGGCGGGAGGGGAGCGTCGGGGGGGGGATGCGGAGCCGGCCGATCGGAGTGGTCGTTCTCTCTGACGACATTCGGCGCGCCCGCCTGGCCCCTGCTCCCCTCCTGCGCCCATCCCCCGGCGGCTCCGGCCGACACCGCGCCGAGGCCGTGGCGCCGCTGTCGCCACCGGGCCGGGGGACCGGGCCCCTCGCATGACGCTTCTCTTACCGTCCTGGCACGCCACTACACCGGGACCGGGGTTTACGGCGACCTCTCGTCCCTCTCCATCTCTTTTCTCACCCGTCCGCTCTGCAGATCAGCGGTGACCGGTGTGTGTGGCGATCCCATCGCCCTCGCAAAGAGAAGATAATACAGACGTGCTGTTTTTTCTCGTGCAGTTAGAGGGGGACACCCGCCTCTGCTCTATATACCTAATTAACAAGGGCGGGGCTGTCCCGGAAAGTGAGAAACGCCGGGCAGCGTGGTGCACAGCGAGCAACCTCCCATACGTGCTTGTCTCCTCCTTTCCTCGGGCTGTTCCATCTCCTCGTCTCTTTCCCACCTAGGCGGGGCGGGGGTCGGGGGGGCGGCGGGCGCGGGGTGCGAGGTGCGGTGCTGTGCGTGCAATCGTGGTGTTTGGCGTCATGTTTTGTGTGTGCCTTCTCGCTTGTTATTAACATCGAAGTCTAGCTCATAAATAAATAAACAAAGAACTAGACAGGCGGCGACGTGGCTGGAGCTCGTAATAAAAAAAGCGGTACTGTGAGATGGGTAAAAATAAATGAAACGGTCAAACTCTGAGACGAGATGGGATTTAGGGACATGTACATGTGTCCCCGCCCGCTCCCACCTGCTCCCCCCGCTGCGCGGCAGGGCCCCTGGCCCTGCCGGCTCCTCTCATCCGTTTAATCTTTCGAGCGACTCTATTGATCCCGGTATCTGGATTCTGCCGGTCCCTGGGTCGAGCAGGGTGGCTGCCGTGGACCAGACCGCGCGCCGC